TTCTTTTAGGAGAAGATAGGGATGGTAAAAATATGATATATAAGATGGGGTGATCTTGGGGGTCAACACTAGGTTGAGGCAAATTTATTACTTTGAGGAGGGGCAAGGGATGAAAATAAGTTGGCGAAATATGAGCTCTGACATGAAAATGTTTTCCCTGGGACTCACTGTGGCCAAGCGCAGCAAAGCACTCTCTGATTCCTGCTTCCTTGTGTGCCAAGCCTGGACCTGACCAAGATAAGGGAAACAGCCAGGCTTGCCCTAAATATCTTAGTCTGAACTCATATGAGAACTTGTTCACTTGCTGAAACCCACATGGGAGCTGAGCTGAGGCAAAAGGAGGCAGGCCTGGAGATGAGAACCTTCTGGTGGCGTGTTCCTCCTGTCTGCATGCAGGTGCTAGTGGCACAGGCAGGTGCTAAATAAACCTGCCCCTTACAAACTCTTAGTCCACAGCAGCTAAGCTCCTAGAAATCACCTGGGCAGGAACCACCTGGAACAAACTCCAAGTAGATAGGAATAAGTACAGATCTCGGCCCCACCCAGATTAACCAGGAAGCCCCACGCCTGCCTGGTGGTCTGTCATGTTGGACTCTAAACACCCACCTGTTGAAAAGAAAGTCATTTTGTCTTTTCTGTGAGGTCACTCAAAGAATGCAAAGTTTAGGGTGCATACTTTACTCCAGACAAAAATTTGGATACTGAAACTTACTAAATTCTCTGTGTTCATTTTATGGGTAATAAAAATTACAAGGGATCAGCAAAAAAAAGTTTGACAATTTGGAGAACATCTAAATGCACTGTGAATATGGGGTTTACAACTAAAATGTGTTATAACTGAAATAATTGAATATTTGTTTTATAAGTCAGTTCCCAAGAAACTCAAGAACATTGAAAAAATATGAACTTTCAGAAATTGTTCCATTTGAACATTTAAAATAATGTTGTAAAAATCTTGAATAAATCTTGATAGTTATTTGGTTGAATTCTTTTGAAATTCATAACTGGTATTTTAAAAAGTTGGATTTGTATAATATTGAGATAATGAACATACATTTTAGCCAAAGGTTTTTAAGGAACTGGAATTCAATACTACAGCTGCCTATGCCATGCTGAAATAACACAAGTACCAATGAAAAGATGAAGAGCTAAAGGGGAGTTTTAAGTAAAACCTTAAAGGCTTGTATTTATCTGTATGGCCCCTTTCTCATTGTTCTGATTTAATGATCAGCAGTACTACATGCTCTGTGTGTGTATTCTCAGTGTTTTCTTGGAGGTAGGTTGGGTTTTAGTTTTTTTTGTTTTTTGTTTATTTTGTTTTTCTTTTCAGAGTCGTGTTGCTGAGTCATGCTAATAAAAGAGATGACCAGGACCTGTGCATTTTGAACCCAATTCCAGGCAGTTTAAATCAAGGGTAATAAGAAGCTGAAGGAAAATGGAGACCTTAAATTGGGGGGCTACACTATAACCGAAATACATACGTGGCATTAATTCAATCATTTACCCAGCAAATACTTACTGAGCACCTACTATGTTCCAGGCACTTTTCTACGGGTCTAAGGATACAACGGAGCCCTGGTGGTGGGGTGGTTGAAAGCACTCGGCCGCTAACCGAGAGGTCGGCGGTTTGAACTCACCAGTCACTCCACGGGAGAAAGATGTGGCAGTCTGCTTCCGTAAAGATTTACAGCCTTGTAAACCCTGTGGAGTAGTTGTACTCTGTCCTATAAGGTCACTATGAGTTGGAATCAACATATGGCAACAGGTTTAAGGATACAACAGAGGCCTTGAGTGGTAGAAATGATTAAGCACTCAGCTACTAATTGAAAGGTTGGCAGCTCAGATCCACCCAGAGGCATCTTGGAAGAAAGACCTGGTGATCTACTTCCAAAAAATCGGCCATCGGAAACCCTATGGAGCACAATTCTACTCTGTTACTTGACAGTAACTGGTTTGGTTTTTTTTTTTTTTTCTTTTTTTGAAGGATACAGCAGTGAATAAAACTGACCATCGACCATGGAGCGTACATTCTAGTCACAAGGAGATAGTCAATAAGCAAAGAAATAAGAAATATATGTTGTATATCAGATAGCATTAAGAACCATAGATAAAAATAAAGCAGTGAAGGAAAGAAGACATCCTGAGAGGTTCAATTTTATGTAGGATAGTCAGGAAAGCCCTCCTTCAGAAGGTGACATGTAATCTAAGGAGGAAAAGGAGAGAGTCAAGCAAAGGATAGAAGGAAGAGGATTCCAGGCGCATGAACAGCAAGAGCAAAGGCCGTGCAGCAGGAACATGCCTGGTGTTTTCAAGGAAGAATCGGGAAGCCAGTGTGCAGGAGGGGAATGAGTAAGGGGAAGGCCAGAGGTAACAGAGGACAGACCACGAACTATCTCCTAGATCATTCTAAACACTTAGGCTTTGACCATGAATAAGGTGGCGTATGACCATACATAAGATGATACATCACAGCCATGGATAAAATAACTATTATATTACAGCAAGGTTTAAAAATAACATTGTCAGGGGATTTTTAGGACAGTGAAACTATTCTGTATGATACTGTAAGGGTGGACACATGACATTATGCACTTGTCAAAACCCAAAAGACTGTACAAAAATAACTAAATGGGAAATAGCAGCAGGACACTTCTTAAAAGAGCAGCATGTGAGTTCAGCCTCTACAAGATTTTAAGTCCCATCTTCTTGGATATCATCGGCCCACCTCTGGTGTTTAGTTTATAGGGGATCATCTAAGGCACCCCTAGAGCCAGGTGCTGGCCTGGATTACTCTTCTCCACTGAAAGGAACCAGGGCTCAGAAAAAAAGAGGTCCCATTGCCCACGTGGGGCAGAGCAACTCAGAGGATTAAATTGTTCCCCCTACCAAAAAAAAAAAAAAAATCTGTTGGAATCTTAACCCCTGTAACTGTAGATGTAATCCTGTTTGGAAAATAGTTTAATTAGGTCATACCCAAGTAGGGTGGGTTCTAAGTCCAATCACTTCTGAGTTATAAACAGAGCAGATTAGACACAGAGGCACACATACACACTGGAGAAGACAGGCAAACACCATGTGAGGACCGTCTACAAGCCAATGAACCAAGGAAGGCCCGGGGCTACCTACAGGGAAGGAACTGATATGGCCCAGGCCCTGATTTAGACTTTTAGCTTCCAGAGCTGTGAGAAAATAAATTTTTGTTCTTTAAAGCCATCCATTTGTGGTATTTCTGTTACACTTGCTCTAGAAAATTAAGACAGAGGGCCTGAGGCCACTGGTTGTAGAGAGCAGGGATGCCCACAGGAGTGCCTGAGGTGGAGCTCAGAAGGACATGGAGAGCATGTTAAAGAGTGGGCTCCTGCAGCCAAGCAGTGACATGCTGAGCATCAAATATATGTACTAAACCCCACAGTAATTATAATACTTTAAACCCTGTTGAGCCTATAAAAAGCTTAAGTTCATTCAGTTGCTCAAAAAGAACAAATATTCAGAATATGGCAGAAAAAAAGCCACAGCTACCAATATGAGTCCATGTGTGGGTAAGTTTCTCCACACACACAAAAAGTATGTACGTATGGGCAGGCTGCAGGGTAAGCGTACAAATTACTCAGTCACTTTAATTTGTTTGATTATTGCAGTGCCTAAAATAGAAGAAGATAGTTTATCTGCTGGTTAACACAGAGAGAACAGGTGAAGGGGTAAACTGCAAAGGGGACCTCAGACCTCACTATCGCCTGAGCTACTAGAAGATGCTCCTGGGAAGTTAATTTTTGCTTCACCCCTTTCTTACAGGAAGCACACAGGAAGGTGTTAAGGTTGTTTTCACCAGTCATTTGCACGTGTGGAAGGCCAGGCATGGAGCCCGAGTCAGCAGAACAGCAGGGCACGGGAAAGGATAAAGAAGTCTCCTACTCCTGGTAAAATCCCTACTCCATGAGCATTAATATGGGGACATCCACAACTGTGGTTCCCTATGGACACTGTGCAAACAACTGCCTATGAGCCTACAATTTTGCAGGTGAATTTGACTGGAGAAAAGCCCACAGCCAGGCTGGCCAGTCTCACAAGCCTCAAGTGAGCCCTTCCAGCTGCCCCACAACACTGTTATTTCTGAGTCCATTCACACTCTGCCCTCCAGGAAGACTATCTCACACCTTCTCCCTTCTCGAACCTTTAACACCTTCTCCCCTCCTCGCTCTCAGAAGGAGACCCTGTGTCCTATTTCACTGGGAAAATAGAAGAAATAAGAAGAGACCATCAAGCTACTACATCTTCCCAACTACAAGCATCTGTGCTTCACAATATAGTGGAGGTCAAAACTAAAAGGTAATACATTAGTCAAAGTACTGTGCAGTGCCAGAAAGTTCTATAAACTTAAGTAAAGACTCTGTCCCTCATTGGCTAATTGATGAGGGGAAAGTCTCCCTTGGTGAGTCTCAGTTATTGCAGTTGTAAAACAAGTTTCTTTTAGCTCCAAAATCCTATGACTTACTATGGTAGTCACATGATGGTAATTAATTAAAACGACCCTAAATATCTTAACTTCATAAATCACTCAGAGGCCATGATGGCTTCTCCCAGGCGGTCACCCGATGGACTAAGAACCATACAGTTTGGATTGTTTGTGTTGAAACTTCCAAATTCCATCTGCTATAAGCCACACCAGGACCTTTTCCATAGAGAACTTTTACCTATGGAATTCCCGGCCACCCTTGGTCCACACCACTGTTATTAGTTGGCCTTTATGTTTTGAAATTTGCCTTCCCTATTCTACTGGTAGTGTCTCCATGCTGACTTCTCAAGTGCTTTCATTTTATGTGGATGCTTCATTAAATCCAAAATACTTAAACTCTGTGCTTAGATATATGCAGGTCATAATTTTTCAAAAATAGGGTAATAATTAGCAATATTTCAAAGCACAGATGTGTGCTATGCCTTGCACCAAGCCTTTGTCCAAATAAGAACTCTTTCTGTAATTTACATTGCAGACATGTACTTACTTTCTCCAAATGAGCTTTACTTATCAGTGCTCCCATGCTGGCTGATGGATCAGAGGGAATGCCAACTTTCCACTTTCTGGTAGCTTCTACAAACCTCTTTAAAAATTCACTGTAGATGCTCTTCTGGACAAAGATCCTACTGGTACAGAGACAGATTTCACCCTGCCAAGAATGACACACGAGGACATTAGCAAGACTTGAAGACAAACTCCTTCATGGGATAAATCGGTCTGCACCTTTGAGCACTTGCTTTGTGTCGGGCACAGTTCTAAGTGATGGGATACTGTGGAAAGCAAGACAGAGTCCTTGACATGTATAACACACAGTCAAGTGGGGAAGACAGACATAAGTAAATGTAAAAAAAAGCTCAATAAATAATATAGCTTCAGGCAGTGATCAAATCAATACAGAAAAAGTAAGCAGAGGATGGGAATAGAAACTGATGTAGGGGCAGCTATTTTACTAAAGCAAGTCATGGAGGCACTTGTGAAGAGGAGATATTTGAATCAACACTTGATTGATGTGAAGGGGCTGGGCAGGCAAAGATCTGGAGGAAGAGAATTCTCAACAGCAAGTGTGGAGTATCAGGCGCAAGAATAAGCTTAGAGTGTGAAGAAGAACAAGAAGGTGGGCGAGGCCGAGGGTGGAAGTGGAGGCAGGTATTGGGACATGTGTGGCAGGAGATGAGGTCAGGAGGTGAGCAAGGCAATCTCATGCAGAATCTCATAGACTCGGTAAGGAGTTTGCATTTTATTCTCAATATCTTAAGAGACAATGGAATGTTTTAAGCAGCAAAGTGACATGATCTGATTTACATTTTCAAGTGATCATTCTGGCAGCTGTGTGAAGAATAGAATGGAAAGGAGCAAGAGTGAGACCAGAGTGACATGTTAAGAGAGTATGTCTTAGTTATCTAGTGCTGTTATAACACAAATACCACAAGCAGATGGTTTTAACAAAGAGAAATTTATTCTCTCACAGTCTAGCAGGCTACAAGTCCAAATTCAGGGCATCAGCTCCAGGGGAAGGCTTTCTCTGGCTGTTGGCTCTGGAGGGAGATCCTTGTCATCAATCTTCCCTGGATCTAGGAGCTTCTCAGGTGCAGGGACCCCGAGTCCAAAGGACACACTCTGCTCTTGGTGCTGCTTTCTTGGTGGTATGTGGTCCCCCTGTCTCTCCACTCACTTATCTCTTTTATATCTCAAAAGATATTGGCTTAAGACATTATCTAATCTTGTAGATCTCATCAATATAACTGTCACTAATCCACCTCATTACATCATAGTGACAGGATTTACAACACATAGGGAAATCACATTAGATGACAAAATGGTAGACAATCATACAGTACTAGGAATCATGACCTAGCCAAGTTGACAGATATTTTGGGGGGACACAATTCAATCCATGACAACATATTACAGGAGTCTCGATAGGTGAAGGTAGCTTGGACCAGGGTGACACCAACAGAGATGAAGAAAAGTGGTAGGGGTTCGCCAATTCCAACCAGTTTTAAAGGAGCATGGGACCCCATGTAAGAAAACTGGCATAGAAGACTGAAGAAGTGATAGGATTTAGGGTATATTTTAAAGGTAGAACCAACAGGATTTGTTAGTAGATTAGACATGGGATGTGAAGAAAAGAGAAAGTGAAAACAAGGACGAGTCCTAGGTTTTGGGCCTGAGTGATGATGTAGGTGTTAGTGCCATTCCCCAGAAAAGGAAGCACAAGGCAAGGAGAGAAGCAATATCGCAGGGCAGGGTGAGGGACAGAAATCAAGAGTTTCATTTTGGACATGTTAAATTTCTTATGCCTAATAGACATCCACGGAGCCCTGGTGGTAAAATGGTTAAGCACTTGTCTGTTCTAATCCACCGATGGCTCTGTGGAAGAAATGACCTGGCAATTTGCTCCCATAAAGATTGCAGCCTAGACAATCCTATAAGGCAGTTCTACTCTGTCCTATAGGGTCACTATGAGTTAGAATCGACTTGATGACACATAGCAACAACAACAGACATCCAAATATAGATGCTAAGAGTTCAGGGTATAGGTTTCTGAATAAAAAACAATCCTATCATTTGAATATAGCATCTAATAGCTTACAAACCATATTCTAGACATTTCAAAGCACTATATATCTTATAAATAAATGCATACATAAATAAATATTTCATCACATTTATATGTGATAGTCACAACAATCCTCAGAAATAGGATGCTTCTAATTATCTTAATATTTGTACAAAGGTGCATTGTCCAAACTAAACAGTGTCTTGAAATATTAAATTCTTTCTGTGACCAGGATTGCTATTTGAACTATCTGCATATCTTGGCTGGGAAATCTCAGAACCCCTGACGTTTTCATCTGCACGATTGCCCTGTGCCACCTGGGGAGGGAGGGTACGATAAAAAGACTTGAGGGCTTTTACCAAGCTTCCTAGAAACCCAGTGCCAGAAAAGTATAGGTAATTCTATGAGCGTTAGGAGGATGACTTTAGAGGAGATAGGAAAAGGAAAATGTACTTATTGAGCAACCAGTATATTCCAGGTACTGTGCAGGATGCTTTCCTCATAATAATCCGGTGATGTATTATCTTCCCCAGAGCCCTGATGGCACAATGGTTAAGCATTCGGCTGCTAACCAAAAGGTCAGCAGTTTGAATCCACCAGCTACTCCTTGGAAACCCTATGGGGCAGTTCTACTCTGTCCTACAGGGTTGCTATGAGTTGGAATCAACTCAGCAGTAATAGGTTTGGGTTACTTTCTTTGTTGGGTTTTTTTTTTTTTTTTTTTTTTTTGGTATTATCTCTCCCAGTTTACAATTAGGAACTGGTGTGTTCAAATATAGTGACACCATTGAGGCCACACAGCACAGGAAGCGATAACCTCCAGCGTGCATGACGCCAAAAGCCACATTCATTTTTGCCGTGTCACATAGTATCTCTAAGCGTCAGTGTGCTCTGAGTCAAAGGAGACCATGCATCACATAGACAGACAAAAAAAAGCCAGTAAGGCAGAGGTATGCACTACATGGAACTCATCACTCAACTAAGCAAAAGAAATTGGTTTGTTTATTTTGCTTAAGATCCATGTGTTACCTTGGGTTGGACAATGAGTCCCCTTTCCTACTGACATGTTAAAATACTCCAAAGAGCAAGGCTCTGTGGCGAACTCAAATCCTAGCCCAATTCTGGTAGCCAAGGAGTCCATCCCCATGCTCAGGACTGGTCTACTTGAATGCATAGAGTTCACCTAACTTCTTCTCCTCGCAATTTCTCAGTATACAAAACGTGCACTTCTCTTATGACTCCAAGATATCAGAACACTTGGTTTAATTGTTCACTTTGATACTTGCTTATTTTTAACCATAAAATTGCCTTATGTCTACTGATCCAGAAACCCTATATATTTCTAACCAATTTCTCTGAGAATTATGGTGAAATAATTACAATTATAATTACCATGAAAAGAATAACTGTAAAGAATAAAAATAATTTTTCATTCTATACTCACAAAAACCCTGTTGGAAAGCATTATTATTACTCCTATGATTTTACTGGTGAAGAAATGAACGCTCAACAAGGCTATCCAATATTACCTCAAGGCTATCCAATATTACCTGAGTTAGGTAAATAAAGATATATCTCATTCCACTCCTCTTTCCTCCCATGGAAGTTCTAACTCTTTGGCTTAAGTCTTTGTTCTCTGTTTAAATAAAAATATCTTGAAATTAAAAAAAAAAAATTCAGTATTTGTGTACACTTGTTATGTCTTAGACATTACTCTAGGCATTGACGATAAAAAAATGCTGAGCAAATACAGGAACAGTTCCCTTCTTCATGAAGCTTACAGTCTAGTAGATTTGATCTAGTGTTCTTAACCCTTGGAATCCCCACGGCCTTGAGGAATCTGATGAAAACTATGGGCCCCCGAAGAACATCTGTTACACAATTCCAAGAGATGTAAAGACGCCCTGAAGTTCATCCATGACTCTAGGGTAAGTAACCTGCTCTAAGCTGTTTCAGGTATTTATATCTCAGAAATAGAAAAAAGGAAGACCCTCAGTGAGATGGATTGACACAGTGGCTGCAACAATGGGCTCAAGCATAACAACAATTGTGAGGATGACACAAGACCAGGCAGTGTCTTGTTTTGTTGTACATAGAGTCACTATGAGTCAAAACAAAACAACAACAACATATCTCAGTGTGTGGATCCATTGGGGATGCTTTGTGGGGAGAATAAGGTTTACATTTGATGGCAATAAAATACTGGGCAACTGTGTGAATAAAAGGCTGGAGAAACTTGGAGCAGCAAAGATCAACCATTTTGCCCACCTCTGGTCACTGATAAGAGTTCCGTAACTCAAGAGAAGGATTTTGCTGAAGAGAAGGTGTGACTCTCCAAAGCCAGCAATGGATGTTGAGATTGAACAAATAGTCAACAGAATAACGCAAACAATGTCATGATTCTCCTTTCACTGAAATGGCACTGGATTGACTTACTCACCACCTGGGGTTTGCACTGTGATGAAACAGATCCAGCCTGACAGGATCACAGAGGGAAAAAAGCCCACAAGACATACCTGGCTGGCAAAGCTGGACCTGACAGTGGCAGGAATACACTCCTCCAGGTTAGCATCCTCAAAGATAATGGCAGGATTCTTTCCACCCAACTCCAGGGAGAGCTTCTTGCAGTAGGGGGCGCTCAGCTGTGTGATCCGCTCGGCTGTAGGCTGGCTCCCCGTGAAGGAGATCAGGGGCACCTCTGGGTGGGACACCAGGGCCTCACCTACTATGGGCCCCATTCCAAACACAATGTTGACCACACCTGGTGGAACCCCTGGATGGAAAACTGTGTCAGTTACAATAGTTCCTGTCTGTATGTTAAGGGCTTCAGGTTACACAGAGATTCTCCTTGAAAGTCCAATAGCTTGAAAGGGGGGAGAAGGGTACTTGGTGGGCTGTGAAACACCTGGAACTTTCACGGCTGCCTGTAGTTTAATAGCAAAGTGAGACTGTACAGTCTCCTCTGTCAAAGTACACACTAGGTGAGATTTCTCCGAGCGCTTTGCCTAGAACATTCTAGCAATTCATTCCTTAATACTGACGAGGCCTGAGGTGCTGAGAATGCAGAGATATGCTCAGGTAGTCAAGTCCAGTCAGGGAAGAGTGCCCTCCTCCAAGTTGGCATTTCACAACTCGGTGTGAAAATGGTACAGTAGAGGATTTCATTGTAAATGCTGAAGAGGTGCAAAGAAGAGAATGACTATCGCGAGCCAGGGGGCAGGGGAAGGCTTCCCAGGAAAGGTGAATTGTGAGTTAGAAGTCCTGAGATCTATGGTTACGGACAGCGCCATCACACTCCACACTGACTTCCAAGTACTGAGAACATCTAAAGTAAGTGCCCTCGTCCTTCCTATCATGTGACCCTATTGTACTATATCTGCATATATTTATTGTGTTTATGGATTTACTTGTTTATAGGTACCTGTCCTCCACTAGAAGGTACACTATCTGAGAGCAGAAATGGTATCTGTTTTTTTGCTCTGTTGTATCCCCTATGCCATGGCTCAGTTTGGCACATAGAATCAATACCAGTAAGTGCTCACATTTTGGAGTTCTTACCGTGGGCCAGCCATTCCTGTAAGTGATATATACCCTAGTGCAATGACAAGCACTTGGCTGCTAACCAAAAGGTTGGCAGTTTGAACCCACTCAGTGGCTCTGTGGGAGAAGGACCTGGGGATCTGCTTCTGTAAAGATTACAACCAAGAAAATCCTATGGGGGAAGTTCTACTCTGTCACATGGTGTCACTATGAGTCAGAGTTGACTCGGTGACACCAAACAATAATAGATCTCCCAACGACTCTATGAGGTAAGTATTAGTATTATCCTTACTTTACCAATGAGAAAATTAAGGCAAAGTGTGTTTAAGTAACAACCAGTAAGTGGCAAAGTTGGTAGTAGCAGGTTAATAAATAATTGTTAAGTGAATGAATGAATGCTTAATGTACACTATACAAATCAGACATGTTTCTTGATTTTAGAAGGCTTTAGGGGTCCAGAAAGAAAATCATGTGGACAACTGTGTTGTGTCCAAGAGCTCGTAGGCTCTGCCTGAATTTATTCCTACTACTTTTCTAGGCTGGTCCTATAGTGGGTGCAGAAATCCTCCAGTGAGTATGGTTTTTGAACTGCTTCCCTGCTCCTGGTATCTTTCCCTTGCTCCAGGTAAAACATTCTCTCATTAGAAACATATTGTCTTGGATTAAAACCTTCTCTTCAAGAATCTACTTTTAAAGTATAAATAAATTATTTCACACAAATGTTCCATTACCATCCTTCCCATAGAGCCCCATACTTAGCAGGAACACCTTGGGGATAACCACGTCCCCACGGAGGTGAGCCCCTATTATGGATTGAACTGTGTTCCCCAAAAAGAGATGTTGAAGCCCTAACCCCTGTATCTGTGAATGTGACCCTGTTTGGAAACTGTGTTTGAAAATGTTACTACTTAGGTTAGCAGAAAATCATATTGGAGTAGGGTGGGTCCTAATCCTATGTGACTGATATCCTTATAAAAGAGGAGAAGATACACAAAGACATGGAGACAGAAGACTCCATGTGACACTTCAGCTGCAAGCCAAGGAACGCCTGGAGATTCCTTAAGGAAAGATACATGGAACTGTTTTTCCTTCAGAGCCCTCAGAAGGAATCAACATGGCCAACACCCTGATCTCAGACTCTCAAGCTCCAGGACTGTGAGAAAATACATTTCTATTGTTTAAAGCCACCCATTTTGTGGTACTTTGTTAGGGCAGTCCTAAGAAGCCTTCAAGGAGACATATGGGAAAAGTCAGCAAGGCTCCCCAGGCTAAATGGTTCACTAACTCATGATGGTGTCTGACAGGACCCCACCCTAATGAGCTCAACTCTATGCCCAACGTGCACAGTTGCTGTAATCTAGTTTAGGTCAGTCCTGGTCACAGGTCACTACCAGAGGAGGGCAGACTTCGGCCAGACATGGTGTGAGAGCACCCTGGGCCCTGGGATGGACACAGAAGGGGCTGAGAGGGCTGGCCTTCCCAGCAGGACAAGTTTCCCACCGTTTCCTGGGTCTGGCTTTGCCTCTCCCTCGAATACCAGGCATGGGGGTGGGGGGGCAGAGTGCTAGGCTTTATAAATCCTGAAGGCAAAAAATGGACTGAATCATTTCTAATATTTACAGCAGTATTTTAACAAGGGAAAAGGGTAAGAGAGAACATATAAAACCACCTATTTATCACCACAGGAAAACGAGCTCATTTCGGGCATGCTGATTGCCTTCTCCTACAGAACAGCATTAACACTGGATTCCATTTCCTTGGGCTCCAATGTTAACACCTCAACAGCTGTCTGCTGGCTATTGTTTCTCAGTACCATTTTGCCATTTAGACCAGACATTAATGAAAATTTTTTTTTAGAAATATATTGCAAACAGTTAATGTGCTTGGCTGCTAACCAAAAGATTGGCAGTTTAAATCCTTCCAGATGCACCTTGGAAGAAAGGCCTGGTGATGTGCTTCTGAAAAATCAACCATCTAAAACCCTATGGAGCACAGTTCTACTCTGACACACATGCGGGCACCATGAGCCAAAGTCTGCTCAACAGCAACTGGTACGTACTGCTAAGAGATTCTGGTTATAAGCGAAGGAAGGCAATTTAACTGGAAATAACAAATCTGCAAAACTTGAGGTAGGTGGCTAAGAGATGATAAAGGGAACACAGCACCTCAAATGCTGGGGCTTGGCAAGAGGGCAACAAGTCAGATTTCAAACTGAAATAGAGCAGAACAAAAACTAATGGGAAGGGCCAGAAAACCACAGTCAGTGGACACTCCAGAAATGAGGGCAAACATTCAGTGCCCCTCAAGGAAAACATGAATATTATAGGACTCCCAAAGAGGTATTCACTGTGTGCTTTTTAAATTGATTTTATTTCAGAGGAAGGCCATCCATCAAGTCTGTTTGAAAGCTCAGGACTAGAGGAGCTAGCTCTTGAAACATCCAAAATGTAGTAAGAGTTTATTTTTATTTGTTTGCTTTTTCTTATAATACTTAGCAGGACTATGTATATGTGATCTATATCTCCTCTCAAGCCCAGGGGAGAAACTGAGTGCTTAAGAGCGGAGCAGTTTGAGCTTGACACTCTGAATGTTCATCAGATGAGGAAAGTTTGGCAGGGATGGAGGTGGAACTAATGCCATCTTGGTATAATAAGTTCATTAAAAACCAGTCACTGTGGAGTGGATTTGGAATCATAGAGACCCCATGTGTGTCAGAGTAGAACTGTGCTCCACAGGGTTTTCGATGGCTGATTCTTTGGAAGCAGGTCACCAGGTCATTCTTCTAAGGCACCTCATGGTGGACTCAAACCTCCAACCTTTCAGTTAGCAGCAGAGTACTTTAACCATTTGCCCACCCAGGGACTTAATACACTTATTAGCTCACAAGAAATAAGATCAATGCTGTGCAAATAGAAAACAAAACTTTCTCACAGACCAGGTTGGGGATATACAAAAAGAGAAGATGGTTATGAAGGATAAACCTCACAGATCAAGACATGTTTGATTTTAGGAAAGTGGCTATGGGACCATGGCTCTGTGGCACTGCCCCTACCTCCATGTGCCTCCTCCCCAATATGGGATCAACGTAGAGCCTAAGACCCACTCCTGTCCCGCTCTGGGGAGCTGCAGTCCCCAGGCAGAGAAGAAACGCCTTTGAACTTTGCAGACATGAGAGACTCAATTCTGCCAAGAATGAGATTGAAATGTGGTCGCTTTTGTAAAGGAGAGATAGCACATTCTGGCACATGGACAAGGTGGACACATTCACAGCACACACCCTCCAGAAGCCTAGCGTATCCACAGAGGTCATCCCAAAGGCCCGGGCTGGAAGGTCTCACTCATGAAACCTAGGCTGGGAGCTCCACTCAATCACTCATGATACAAGGGAGAGGGGCAGCTATACTAGGGTCATAAAGCCCAAGGGGAGCCCTGGTGGCCCAGTGGTTAAGAACTCGGCTGCTAACCAAAAGGTCAGCAGTTCCAATCCACCAGCCGCTCCTTGCAAACTGTATGCAGCAGTTCTGCTCTGTCCTATAGGGTTGCTATGAGTCGTGATTGACACGACGGCCACCACTTTGGTTTGGTTTGGTTCAAGGCCTTCCCTAAACAGGCATGGTTTTAACCTGTCACCTAAGTCCTGGTTTAAAGAATCAGCTAAACATTCCCAGAGGTCAACACATATGTTTAGCTTCAAGGGAAGGCAGATGAAAAGGAATCCGGAAGAGGGCAAGAGATGTAGCTCTTAGCACAACTCATTCTATGGATGTGGATGAGCCCGGCTGTATCTTCTCTGTGGACTTCACTTGGCACAGCAGAGGTTGACACTGCCAGGAAGACAGTAAGTCTGTTCCCCACCACCCACCCCATCATTCCTACCCACAGGTATGTGGAGACTGGAGCTGAGGACCTAACAGCAAGGGGCCTTCTCATTGTTTACACGCTGGTGGGTCCTGTCTGCTATCTTTGACCACTGGTGCCCTGTCAGGCTGTGACTGTCATGAGTTACACCAAGAACTGTACCAGGAACACACCTCCAGTGTGGCCATTAAACTATTAGCAAAAAGAGGACAAGGAGCTAAAGTGTAGTCCTTCATATGCTGGTCAGAGGCCAGATTATATCAGCTTCTGAGTAGTGGTTCCAAATGCAGGGAAAACTGAGTAAGTGTATATTCAAATCTCTTGAAAAATGGGTTATTTCTATTAGATATTTATACAAACCATAGAAGTACCAAGCAATATTCTTATTTTCATCAAAATTAACTTCGCTCAAACATAAGATTTAAATGGACTATTCAAGAAAATATATGTAGCAGGCTGGTGTCTGATTTGATCTGGGCTCTAACCCTATCAATAAAACAAAACAAATTATTTGTCATCTTTGAGTCAGTTCCGACTCCTGGTGACCCCATATGTGTCAGAGTAGAACTGTGCTCTGAAGGGTTTTCAATGGCTGATTTTTTGGAAGTAGATCATCAGACCTTTCTTCGGAAGTGCCTCTGGGTGGACTTGAATTTCCATCCTTTCAGTTAGCAGCCAAGCTTGTTGGCCACTTTCACAACCCAGGGACTCTTAAGCCTATCATTGTACTACTGCCTTTCTAGCCTTGTACTGCCAGCTGACAACCCCGTGGAGTAGAGCACTTCCTGCAGTAGCAGGGTTCTAGAGGTGAACAGAGGAAGCAGTATGGGAGGACTCTGTGGATGAAAGGGATTTCCCAGAAAAAGATCAGAGAGGACAAAATCAAAGATGTCACTGGAATCTATTTTGCTGCTGAGCAGGTTTCTATCCAAAATAACTTAGCTCTGACTTTCCAGAAGTTGGTGACACTAAAGGGGCTGAAGCTTACAAAACTTACAACCCCAAAGCCAATCCCATGCCTCCTCCACCCTTCCACACCTAATTACCTGCTTTATGCAGGAGTTTGCACAACATCCACGCGGTCACTGAAGTCAGCTCACTGGGCTTGGCTATCACAGTGTTCCCAGCAGCAATCGCCGGAGCTATCTTCCAGGTCAGCAAGTAGAGCGGCAAATTCCAAGGACTGATCAGGCCAGCTAAAAACAAGAAGAGAAGCATGGCCAATAATGACAGGCCCCCAGAAGCAGCCTGGCCAGAGGGGATTATTAATGCAGAATTGCCACATGCCACGTGAAATTTATGCTTACTCTTCTAAAAGCCAAAACTTTGCTCGTTTGTGGCTAACTTCAGGGAAATAATTCTAAAATATATTGCAAGCAACTGTGCCTTTTAATATTAAATATGATCAACACAATTTATTCTTTTCCGAATGGCTTCTGAATGTAATTATGAACAACAGCAATACAACTTCTGGGACTGAAAGAACCCAGAATGCAATGCTTTTAGGAATTTACGGACTGATCTTTATAATTCTTTCCTCTTTTTTTTTTTTTAACTTTTCCCTCCTATCACCAAACTGTCCAACTGCTGTTTCTTCTCACAAGTTTCTCCATCTCCGTTCTTAATCTGTTGTATATCAGGGCGGATTACTCAATAGGCAAGGTAAGCACGGACTTACTTGTGCTTACTTCCCAAATCTGTAGTGAACAATTTCACGTTTTTCACCACACAAGTAAGTCTATACTTACTTTGCTCACTGGGTAATCCGTCCCTGTCAGGGACTGTAAATTTGAAAAGAGGCTTTGATTCTGTAGTAAGGTGCTGTGGGGTCGGGAGAGACACAGATTCCAGTCATACCTAGAAGCAGAATTTTTTATGTGGTGAAAAACTGTGCAGTTGTTCACTGCAGATGATCTGGTAAGCAAGGAAAGCACTGTGCTTACCTTGCCTATTGAATAATTTGCCCTGGGGATTGAGGCACAAATCTCAAACTTTTTAGAATTATTTGTAAAATGAATAAGAGCAAATAGGTTTTGAGTGTTCCTTTTGAAAGCCCAATGAAATCCATTTTGGGTAGCCAAAGGTTTTTTGTTTGTTTATTTTTAAACAATTTTCTCTAGATTCTCATCTGTATCCTGACCAGGTAGGTTTGCTGGATAAGCAACAGAGCCAACAACTACAGCGTGTCTCCCTGCAATATTCTGAAACTTCCCAGGCCCCATGGCATAAAACATGCAAAAATAAAATCTACCTTATGAATAAGGAAATGAATTCACCTCATTTTATACTTTTCCCTCAAGCCTGTGCTATGAAAGTAAATATATATTATAGATCATTAAATTTTCCATTGAAAAAAATCTGTACTTTAGGGGATAAGAGAATATGTTTTCAGCATAACCCATTAGAATACTTCTTAGGAGGAGGTTTGACTTTCCATAATGCCTTGCAAATGTGACTTCCAAAGGGTTCAAAGACTGAAAGCAGTAAAATGTCCCATATTCTTTCCTTTTAACTTATATTCTCTTATCCTAGCATAAAATGTAACCAGTGAAATATGGATGGTTGGGGTTTTTTTCTCAGAGGAAACAGTGACATCTACTGGATGGTTTTAGTCATTGCCGATATTTCATGTCCCCAAAAGGACAAAAGGAAAATAAATGCGGTAGATACGTCTTGCTGTTGTTGTGTGCCGGAGTCATTCTGACTCATAGTGACCCTACAGGACAGAGTAGAATTGCCCCCTAAGGTTTCCTAGGCTGTAATCTTTACAGCAGCTGATCATCAGGTCTTTTTTCCTATTGTGCAGCTGGTGGGTTCAAACAGCTAGCAGCTGAGTGCTTAACCACTGCACCACCAAGGCTCCTTAGATAATTAATAGTGAAAGCTTATTTACCACATGCCTGGCACTGTTCTAAGTGCTACACTTACTAATGTATTTAGTTCCCATAAAAATCTAACTTTTAAAATAAGAATACTGAAGCACAGAGTTTGAGTAACGCGCCTCCAAGTATTTCCAGAATCTGTGAGCTTATCCAAGAACAATATTCCAGGAATAAGTAGCGAATTTGATACAAAGAAAATAAACTACAAATAGATTTGGGGGGGCCAATTAATTTTTAGTAAAAGTAGAAAAAGTCTGTTCTTTCCTTTTCCTTAATCTGTTCCTTCAGATCAATTCAACAGGAATTTGCTGAGCCTCTCTGCGTAACTGCGATTCAGGCTTTCCGGGAACAGCACCTACCGATCCCTAGCGGAGTCCGCACAGTGTAGTGCAGACAGCCCGCGTGGTCCATCTGTGTGCACTCTGACGTGTGGTGAAGGATGGACGAAGCGAAGAACCGGAAGTTCTGCACAGAGCGGGGAATGTCCATGGTTCTCGCCAGTGTTACGGTTTTCCCTGGAAGAAGTAAACGGTATAAAGCACAACCAGTATATTCTACCACAGAGTTAGTGAGACACTATATCCAACACCTTTTACCACATGTGTATCCCCACTCACACAGAGATATCCTTGGTTCTTTCCGGCTTGTGGCAGGCATTCCTTGACTACGGAAAGCGTTGGTCATGGTTTGATAAAACTATGAAATAATTAGGTCTGAGGCTATAAAGTAAAATATAAGGTTAAAAGTCAAATAACCTTTGCTTTGTGAACTGAAAAGAACCCTTGGCTACAGTTATGAATTTACCAGATGCTGCCGCTTTACCCACACAAGCTCTTTCAATTCAAAATCACTAGGCTTTGTAAGTGATATAAAGGGAAATAATGGGTCTTAAGACAGTTGTATAAACGTTGTATAAAAGACACGCTTTTATAAATATGTGATGTTTATTAACTGTCCTCCCAACACATTGAGGAGCCATTAAGATGGGCACATGGCAGAGGGATGGGGGCTCCCTGGCATGTGATGCTGTGGGTCTCACCCCCCCGCCCACTGCACACCCCATGCATTCCCTAGCTCATGGATTGAACAGAAAGAGAAACACCAGTTGACCTGGACTATTACCGAGTTATCTTTAGTGATGCAGGTGGACTCTGCAATGTCAGGGGCACCAGTATATGAAACATTTTCTTTGAAAGGGCTTGGAGTCCGACTACTTCCTAACTTTAGGTTGGTTTAAAGCAAGCATGATTTTTTAAAGATTTTGTGTCACTATGAGTCGGGATCAACTCAACAGAGGCAGGTTTGTGGCTTTTTCTAACTAACAGATATATAACAAAGATTTACAGACACTAACTCTATTCCCCTGACATCTGGGAAGGAATTTTAAAAATTGGGAGTGGAATAGTGACTGACATCAAATATTTTTCTAAATAACTTGACTGCATAACAGCTCTTCAAATTATCTTTGCTTTGATATTCTCTACTTAGAATAATAGAACCTGTGGAAGATTGCACTATCAGCTCCAGTTCTTAACCTCTCCCCATATCTATGTCCTTTGTCATATATCTTTTCAGTTCCTCCCACCAAAGGGACAAAATATATTTTCCTGCTGCTTGACTTTGGGTTCAGCCATGTGACTGGCCTTGGCCATTAGAATGAGTCTGGAGTGTGCTGGTTCCGAGTCGAGGCCTTAAAAGACCTTGTGTGGTTTTGCTTTCCACCTCTACAATTGCCATGAGAAGAACATACCCGGGCTAGTCTGAGGGCCCAGGAGGAAGACCAGAGATGCATGGAGCAAAGTCCAGTTAAACTTCCTCACCAAGCCCACCCTCCAGCGACCTCAGATGTATGAGTGATAATCAATGATTTTTGTTCTCAGCCACCGAGTTTGGGGAAGATTTGTTAGAAGGCAGCAGTTAACTCCAACAGAGCCTAATAAAACAAAACTTTTATGAGGCAATGAAGGTACAAAGGGCGTAACTCTAGCTTTTGCTCAGAATCTAAGTATTATGTTGGTGGTGGTGGTAGTGTGTACCATCAAGTCAATTCATAGTGATTCTATAGGACAGAGTAGAACTGCCCCATAGGGTTTCCTAGACTATAATATTTAAGGGAGCAGATCACCAGGCCTTTTCTCCTACAGAGCAGCCAGTGGGTTCGAACCACCAACCATTTAGTTAGCAGCTGAGTGCTTAACCATTGCACCACCAGGGCTCCTTGTATTATAGATCTGGCAAAATCTTACAGATAGTCTTGTTTTGTAGCTAAGGAATCAGAAAGATGAAGTTGTTCGCTTAAGGTCACACAGCTTATTAGTAGAAGAACCAGAACTAGAATCAGATCACATAATTTTTATTCTAGTGCCATTTCCATTTCACAATTTCTCCTATGATTCACATCCATAATTATACTTGGGCCCACACTTTGGAACCTTACAAGATGGCTTCTTAGGAAACTACTGATATCCTTGTAAAAATGTTGCATTTAAATGCAGCAAGTCACTTGGTAAGTTCGCTGGTGTCCACAGGCCTTGGGAGCTTTCCTATCCCAACACCTGGACTCCAGAGCACTTGGAGAGCCTGCATCTGTGATAGGACTCCAAATGGTTGGGCCTGAAGGAGCAGCATGTAGACACAGACATAGCAGTGGGATGATCCCAACTGGCTGTATACACTAGAAGTGCTCTGAGCCTCTGTTTCTTCATCTGGAAATCAAGGGAGGTGGGCTACATGGCCCCTTTTCATCCCTAATGTCTGCAGATCCCATCTTCTCACCACCCTTATTGTAGCAGTAGCCAATCCCTGACATTAAAATGGTGCCCATTAGCATATTTGAGATTGAGATCATCTCCCAACTATCCACCTTGGAATTCTAAAGTATTCTCCTTGTGCCAAAAGCTTGAAATAGCCTGTCCTACGTGTATAACCCAAGTAAATATTGAAGAAAATATTCAAGTTGTCACGGATTTCATTTTACTTGGATCCACAATCAATGCCCATGGAAACAGCAGTCAGGAAAATTGCATTGGGCAAATCTGCAGCAAAGGACCTCTTTAAAGTGTTAAAAAGCAAAGATGTGACCTTGAAGACTAAGGTGCACCTGACCCAGGACATGGTGTTTTCAATCATCTCATATTCATGCAAAAGCTGAACAATGAATAAGGAAGACTGAAGAAGAACTGATGCTTTTGAATTATGGTGTTGGTAAAGAATATTGAATATACCATGGACTGACAGAAGAGCAAACAAGTCTGTCTTGGAAGAAGTACAACCAGAGTGCTCTTTAGAAGCAAGGATGACAAGACTTCATCTCACATACTTTGGACATGTTATTAGGACCAGTCCCTGGAGAAGGACATCATGCTTGGTAAAGTAGAGGGTCAGTTAAAAAGAGGAAGACCTCAATGAGATGGATTGACACAGTGGCTGAAATGATGGGCTCTAGCATAGCAATGATTATGAGGATGGTGCAGGACAGGGCAGAGTTTGGTTCTGTGGTACATAGGGTCGCTATGAACTGACTTGACGGAACCTAACAACAACAATATGTATAACATAGAAGCTGCAGGGAGGGCAATTGGGCTGGGAGGCAGAATCTCTTCCTGCTACATGCTACAGCCGTGGTCTTCTGGTGGCCAGACAGGGAAATCTCCTGATAAACCACGCTCAGTAAGATATACAGGACTCCATGGGCTCCAAGCACAAACCGAAAAGAAAGGCTCTCTGCAGGTAGTGGGCAGCACTTGGGGAGCAGGAAAGGCCTCCTAACCCTCTACAGATCCCACCATGCAGGAGGCCACCTTCTCTATCCGTTTGTGATGTGGGAGGACTTCCCCTCAAGGGCCTGATGGAATACCCTGGGGTAGCAGAAAAGGAGGGCAGGGAAGAAAGGCTTAGTCCCGAGAGGGGCACCAATGAAGGGGCCTCTGGAACAGCCCAGAGGCAGGAAATATGAACCTGAGTTCCATCCATTATGGTTCAGAGGCGAGAGATTGACTCACAAACTAATGGAAGGAGGGCATTAATCACCAATATCTTAGTAATGTATTCTGCTTTTCATAAAATATTTAGTAAGAGACACCTACACTCAAGCCGTCTCTGCTAGGGAGAGAGCATGGAAGACAGAAAAGCCCTGTCCCAGGCACCTTACAGATGGACAAGCGGCGCTCACCTTGGTCTTTGGACTCTGCCTGGGCGAACTCCTCCAGGGACTGCTCCAGCAAATCCGCCAGCCGGGTCAGGACCTGTGAGCGCTCCTGGGGACTCTGTGCTGACCAGCCCGGAAAGGCTTCTCTGGCGGCCTCCACTGCGGCTTCAATCTTTGAGGAACAAATGGGAGAGGAACCAGAATCCATAGGTCCATGCACGTCTGATTTTTTATGCATTATTTCAAATATTTGACACTTCCCAGTGCTGAGTTACCCACAAAGCAGAAGACATAGGTCTTTAAATGAACAGCAAAGCAGTGGCACCACAAAAACAAAGAAAAATGCCTGGTTTCAACCAACATGTCCAGAATGTGGCAAACGGATCATCAGAAAGAAGCGATTTTCATTTTAACAGACATATATTTTCAATCATTTAAAAAATATCATTTTATTCTGAATACTGTATGGGAAAGAAAACTTAGCCTAGGTGTGCAGAATCTCTAAAGCTCTTAACACACCTCTGATATACATGGTAATGTCTAAAATTTTGTGTGAAATCACATCCTCAGACTGTCATTCCCACACGGAATGACTAACTTTATCAGTCATTTAATGACTAATTCATATAAGAAGGGAATATGTTAAACTTCACGTAAATTATTTTCACTTAACCCCTTTTAAAATTCTGTAGCATTAGTATTGATATGCCCATCTTACAGTTGAGAAAATTGAGGCACAGAAAGCTCAAGTAACTTGCCAGAGGTCACATAGCTAGTAACTGGCAGAATCAGGATTTGAACCAGGAGCTCTGTGGCTCCCAAGACCACAAGCTGGCCTGCCATGGCATAACTGGAGTCCCTGCCCCTGCCCCTGCCTGGCGCTGCCCAGTGGGAGCAGTCTCTGTTGGAGAGGAGGGTGCTGTGGTTGGACAGATTGATTGTGGACTTGGTTTTGGGGCTAAATCCAAAAAGCAGACAATATATGGGAAGGTATGGGCAGGGCCAGCTCATGGCAAAAGGTGATCTAGGCAAAATGAATTTTCAGATCCCCTTCTGTCTTTCTTCTCTCTCAGGCAATTTTCTAAGCCATGCCTTTTCTAGAGATAGCAAATGCACAGCCTCCTACATGCATGACAAACATTAATCACTTACAGCTCTCTTCCACCACTGGGCCCAGGCTCAGCCTCAGGGTCTTTTCCACTGCCTTCAGGCAGCCTCAGACATCTTTCTTGAATCCCATGATCTGATAATAATTTGGCCTCCTGGGCCTAGGCTACCCTTCTCACCTAAACCTGATCTATACCCCACCCTTGCTTTCCTCACGTCACAAAGTCACTTTCAGCTGAGCTAAAGCAGGATATGAAATCATGTTCATTGAAGTTAGAAATTTCTGGAAAGATGGTGGCTTCACCTCAGAAATGAATCTCTAATGTGCACTTGCAGACAGGATGAGGAAGGAAATGTGGGCCTCAGTAAGCCCCACCACAAACTGCAGCCGTGGGAAGCCTGCTGCCAGCCAACAAGAAGAAGGCAGCAGTCACTGTGAAAAATCAGATCTTTCGCTCCACAGAAAACACAAGTCAACTCCTATTTTCTAAGCTGTCTTATGTCGCACGTCTTATGTCTATCTACTGTCATACATAATTATGATATAATTTACTATATATAATAATACTGTTGTTGTTAGTTGTCGTCAAGTAGATTTTGACTAGTAGAAGCTAATACTTAGAAAATGTTCACACCTGCCAGGCCATAAGGGCTTTATATACATATTAATCTGTGTTATATAAATGACCCTACAAGGCCTCTGTGTATAGGCCCCAGACTGTTTATTTCAGAAAAAGAAAAGCCTGCCACACCAAACTCAAATTTTTACGCATCCAATTGCTTTAAAAAACAGCCCCACGAAAGCAAAATTTTAGCCACTTACAGTCTTGTCTGCTTTGCATAGCCCATGAAAGTGCACCCAATACCTGCTTGCCATGTTGCTATTGTGTACTGTCAAGTCAATTCTGACTCATAACGACCCAATGTGACAGAGTAGAACTGTCCCATAGGGTTCCCTAGGCTGTAATCTTCACGGGAGCAAATTGCTAGCTCTTTTCTCCCATGGAGCCACTGGGTGGGGTTGAACCGCTGATCTTTCGGTTAGCAGATAACCATTCCACCACGAGCCCTCCCATGCTAGCAAAAGATAAGATAAAACTCTGTCTTTATGAAGACCCCAAGCCGTTGCTGCCCTTTGGAGCTCTCTGACTCAGAGACTTCCCATCTTGCTGCTGAGCAGTATCACCTAGACACGTTAAGCCCCCCTCTCTGATAAACCCTCACTCTGCCACTGGAGTTCCCTTGCCCTCTTCCCCTTCTGGTGACACCCCTGAGCCAATTGCCTTTGGAAGGTCTCCTGCTGTGAAGGACTTCCCCCAAAGCAAAACCTGTCAAAGTGAGGCCCCAATAAATAGCTTGTTTTGCAACACTGCCATCTTGTGGTCATATATTTTTCCTTCCTCAGCCCTGAAATCTCTTTAACTCCCAATCTGTTGGATACTCACAACAATATTATGAAGTGGGTATTAGTGTTATTATTTCCATTTAATAGATGAGAAGATTGAAGCATGAAGAGGTTCAGCTTTAAGCCAAGGCCATAGCCACTAAGTGGTGGCACTGGTCTTTGACGCCGGGCAGTCTGACTCCAATCTGTGCTTTTGACAGCGATGTTCTCATGCCAATGCTACAAAAAATGTCTGTGTGTGTGTGTCTCACCATTGATCTAAGTATCAGAGAGCAGTGTATTTGCACACTCTTCTCTGTAAAATAAGGACAATAATCAGATCTAATTCACAGGTTGTTACGACTCATTACTTGGGAAAATCCATGTTAAAGGGCTTAGCAAAACACATAGCAAAAGCTGAATAAATGTGAGTCACTCCTAACAGCATTGGTAGCATTTCCTGTAAGTGACTTTTTGGTTAATCAGACTTGTAGTTTGTATAGTGGCTGTATTTTTTCAAGCCAGAAAAAAATCTGGGACTTATAGGGATCAGAAAGGATATTTGCAAGCTGGATTGCTGGGAAATCCAGAATATCTATTACTCTCTTAGCAGGTAAATCCATACCTCATTCTGTTTTCTGAAAAGGCAAAGCCATTAGCTGCAGAAAACATTTCAACTGAATTTGGTATATTTGTAATTTTTAACTTCACTTTGGCGAACACTTGGAGAGGAGCAGGATTGGAAAACATGAAGCTGAATTTCCTACATTCATCTCAGGTCACTTGAAGCAAAGCAGAATTTCTGGTTATAGTTCAACCCATGAGTTAGGCAATATTTGCAAAAAAAATTAATCCATAAGTCTAAAGGTTTTCTAAAGCAAGGCAGATTTAAAGTATCATTAACCATACAGAAATAATGGTTTACTTCTTAAAAAAATAAAAACTAAAACTTTGCCTATAATATACATTTATATATGAAGACTACAATTTTATTTTACATAATTTAGTTATTTGCACCTTAAAAAGAATATACTCCATTAGACACGAAATGACTATACATCCATCAGTCACGTTTTATCACACCAGATATATTAACATTCTCAGTGCAATAACTGATAAGTATCCAGCATACCTCAAATATTTTACAAAATTTTCCAAACAAAATTAATTCTAAATCACTATTTTAAAAAATGTGTGCCAGACAGCACCCTGAGTATGGGATGCTGTTAAATCCAACTCCAAAAATATATGAGAATTTAACTGAGTTTCATCATTCAAATGATGAAAATTTACTGTCCCTGCCTGGCTGTACTGGCTACTTTGAGGACACAAGAAATTATTTAGGAGGCAATCTAAAATTAACCCCTGGGGTGTTCTGTTTTGTTTTAGTGAAGGAACATATTTTTTTTAAGACCCATGGATAACATAGTAAATTTAGGCAGCACTTGATAGAGGAAAGCCCCCCCCCGCAAAAAAAAAAAAGAAATTACAGTTGAGTTGATTCTGACTCATAGCGACCCTATAGGACACTGCCTTGTAGGGTTTCCAAGAAGCAGCTGGTGGATTGGAACTGCCAACCTTTTGGTTAGTAGCCGAGCTCTTAAGCACTGTGCCACCAGGGCTCCTGATAGAGAAAAGGGAGCATTTAATAAAACTGGTCACTCTTACAAATAATACTTTTAAATAGATGTCCATTTAGAAATGTTCATTGATTACAAAAAAAAAATGGACCATACATTTGTGTATTAGGTTGGCTAGATAACTGACTTGCTTCTAAATACAGCAACCTAAGATTTGTTCCCGTATCATTGATGTCCAGTAATGAATAAGCCTTCCTAGAATTAGAATTTTCCTTCTGCTAATGTTTAACTGTTCTACACATTTCCCCAACTCCCTTTGCATTTAGAGAATTAAAGTACCCACAACTCACCAACACATTACATAAATTTAATATATTTAATACATTTCTGTTTCCTCAAAGTGAGTGTATATACTCACCTCTGCTTTTCCACTATTTGGCACTCTGCAATAGACTTCCCCTGTAGATGGGTCATAAGAATCTATATATGAGTTACAAGGTAAAAATTTTCCACCTATGAAATTTTCCAGAATCAAAAGTGTCTTTGTTCCAGCCATAGTGAAGAAAAATCCTGCATTTCACCTTTGCAATAGTTCAGTTATGTTGTCCCCAATACTTTTCTTCTAGTCCTGAGTTAGTCTCCTCCTCTCTTCCAACCCCAGTGCTCTCATTTGCAAATCATTGACCAGTGGAAGGTGACCTGAAACTCTCAAGAGAATTCCAGTCTCCAAACTCAGAACTAACAAAGGGCTAACAGACCTCATAGACTTTCAGTGCATTATGTGTTAAACTAACATCAACATATGGGTTCATAGACCTTTTAGATGGTCAAAAGATATCTGTACCTATCATTTTATTGGGCTCAACTGTAAACTTTTTATTGTTTATTAATAATGAAGCAAGTTCTTTACATGAAGATAGTGCAGGACTGGGCAACATTTTGTTCTGTAATGGGTGGACACTGACTCAACAGCAACTAACAATAACAACTCATTTAATCCACACAACAACTCTATATAAAGTAAATGTTATTACTTGCACTCTTGTGTAGAAGAAACTGAGCCTCTGAAAGGTTGAACAACTTCTCCAAAGTCACGTTGTTACTAAGGGGTGAACCATAGCCCCTTGGTTTCCAAAGCATGCTCTTTTTCCTCAATGCATCACTGCCCTCTCACCCCGCAGAAGTAACTGAAGACAGACCCTTTTTTCCATCCTTCATCTCTTCTTCTTTGCCTTGGCTGCCTTCTCTCTGAAGAACTCTTCAGCTCAAAACCAGCCTATGGCATTATCTCACATCTTCCCAGATATGCCATGGAGATGAAGATAAAGCCAAAAATATGTGTAACGTATGTAACAAAAGGGATTCAAATCCATGGATGTAAGAAATTTCTACAAATCAGTAAGAGAAATGAACAAGCCAACATAAAAGTTAAACAAAGGATATAAAAAAGCAATTCACAGAAAAGAGGATACACTTGGCCAATGAATGTATTGAAGGAGGTTCAGCCTCACTGTTAATCAAGGGATGTGAATTACAAAGAGGTGCCGTGTGTTGCCAGTTAGATTGGAAAGCAGTTTTAAAGATTAATACCCAACTGTGAGGACATGGGGAAGCATGTGCTCTCATGGGAAGGTTTACAGGGACATTTTGTTAGAGCAGTTTGTCAGTACATTTAAATGTGCCTACCTTTTGGCCTAATAATCCCCCTTCTAGGAATCTCTCCTACAGAATCACTTGCTCATGTGTAAGAAGATAAATCACAAGGACATAGCTTTTTATAAAAATTTAGAAAATTGAGAACAGTCCAAATATCCATCACTTGGTGAACATTATAATTAATTTTGGTACATCCATAATATGGAATATTACTTAGCCACTAAAAGGATATAGTTAAGTGAAAAAAGAACACTAGTAAATAAGTATGGTATGAACCCTTTGGATGTCTACATGTTTAAGAGGATCAAGGAGGAGGAATGAAGGGTTTCTTTCCTTTTTAACTCTACATACTTTTAAAGTGCTTGAACACATTATGATGAGCATATATTAATATACTACTTTTAAAGTTAATAAAAATTTAATTGAAAGTTAGATATCAGTATTTGAAATTCATTGGTCATTTGAAGTCATTTGTTGGCTGTGCATTTCATTAGACCCTCCCTGCTTCCTTCTTACTTGGTCTTGCTCTAGGTATTCTCCAAAGTTTTTGCTGATCACCTATGCAAGGCAGCAACAGGCTGTCCATTCTCTAAGGAACCAAGTTCCAGGCCTCCATCTCAGTATCTAGAAATTAGATATGATGATCTGCTGAACAAAGGACCAACTTACTTATCTCTTCTCCTTAGCAGCTCAAAGCCTCTGCAGATGCTTTGGAAATATAACTCATTTTACTTAACACAAATTATTGGAAAGGGCTCCCTCTCCTTACCCAGTAAGAGGCAAGAAAGCAGTATAAAGAAGAAAATTTTTTCTCAGCCTAAAATTTTTAACATTTCTTCTTCTAGATTACTTTTTCTTTTATCTTATGTTACTGAATTATGGTCATATTGATATGCTTTTGATGAAAACCTCTTCCAATATTTTTTAGAAATTGATCACATATGAATAAATATATACATACATGAATAAAGTAATACAATAACATATACAGTCAGGGTCTATTTAGGAAAACAAAAATCATGGTAGGTATTTCAAAGAGAGGGAAATGATTTCATAGATGTTGGAAGGTTGCAAGAGCTTACAGGGACTATCACGATAACCCAGATAATAGCAATGCAAAAAGCAGCTACCTTGTAGACTGTGGAACAAAAAGGAAAAGGTGAGCTACAAGAAATTAGAAGCTTGTGAGGTGATCCCCCTTACAACCCCAGCTGGTGCTGCTACTTCTGAGGGCGTGTGGGGTGGCTGAGCCGGGGAGGGCCAAGCAGCCAGAGGCTGTGGGCTGTGGCTAGAGCGACACTGGCAGGGACTGGAGACATAAAGTGTTCTCTTCTCCCCTCTATCCCTCCAGACTTTTCCCACTGGCAGAAAGCCAACTGTCAAGAAGGTGTGGGAAATACAGTTTGCAGATCTCAGCCCCCGCACCACAGTGCAAAGTACCGAGGAGAGAGCTTGGGGCTGAGACGTGCTCAGGCCGTGCATAAACACTTCTGTCACCAGTCTCCCTGGCTTTCTCCCTCCCAGCTCTTGAGTGCCCTTTTTGCCCCTTCAGAACCTCTTGGAAGCCCATCCTTATCCCAAGTGCTTCATGCTCAAAAATAATGTGTCATCCTCTCTGTCCCCAACCCACTTGTTAAGATTTATCTCACCCAAACTATAGAGAAAAAAAAATAATAATCTGATGATATGACTGAAGCAACTGACACTGAGTGTTGATTGACTGAGCTGAATGTTTGGTTCTTTATAGTTCTTAATATCCTAAAGGACTCCAATTAGGGGACTAAGGGAGATTCACTTGAAAGAAGAATTTTCATGTGTATCATGGCAGAGGAGTTTTCTGCAACATAATGGGAGAGAAGGGTCAGAAACTGGGGAAATGCTGGATGCTTATCGGAACTGCAGAGGGATAGGCCCAGCTACTGAGCAGGCTGGGTATTATTTCCAGTGATGTCCTTGTGCTGTCTGCTGGGCAAACTTGACCTTGTACATTTTTTCATAAAGCAGTAGGTCCTTCACCGCCCTTCCTCCCTGTCCTGTCAGGTGACCTGCTTCTGGCATCTCAGACCCTTTCTGTCTATAGTGCAGCTTTTTCCCCACCTGCAGGTCAACCATGGACCTGACTCTGGAGCAAATGCTCAGCTGAGGCAGGACAGAGTTCCAACCCTTAAGGGCACAGCGACAGGCCTCACTGAGAGTCTGGTCATGTCCTCACAGCCCAAGTCCTTCTCTCTAGACTTGGGACCAATCTTTCTCTTGCCTTTTTTCCTTGAAGAGACATAAAATCTTGAATCTGAGCCTAGGCAGTAAGACCCTACTCCCTGCCACCTACCGCTCTGTACCTCTTGGTATCGCCTGCTACTGAATTCTCCTGCTGGCTCTACCTGCTCTCCAGTGCATGCCCTGTTGAACTCTGATCTATTCTCACCGTGCCCCCTGAATATCATTCTTTCCCATGAAGTGTGACTTCCATTAGCAGCAACTACATCTGTCCCCACCACACCCAAGGGGGTGAATTTAGTACCAGATCCTGCAGAGAGGGTAGGGAACTCAAGACCTTGAGATCAAGAGACAAATATTATAAATGTGACATTATTAAGTATACTAATAAGCAAAAGGGAACTAGTAGTTCTAGAATATTCCAGAACGGGACAGGGTGTTTTTACTTAGAGAAAAAAGTTGTTCCCTCTGAAGAGGGTGAGGCAATACCTGATTTAGGGAGCTCTGAAGTGTTCTGGAGTCCCAGGTGGCACAAATGGTTCAGCGCTTGACTAACCGAAAGGTTGGTAGTTCAAACCAACCCAGAGGTGCCTCAGAAGAAAGGACTGGCAATCTGCTTCCAAAGGGTCACAAACTTGAAAACTATATGGAGCAGTTCTACTCTACGCACATGGGGTGGCCATTAGTCAGAGCCAACTCAACAACAATTAAGAACAATAAGTGCTTTGGAGCTCTGAACTACCCAGGTGGGCTACAGTGCCAGGCAGTGGAGCAAGCTGATTAACTGAGCAGCTCCCATATGCCAGGCACCTTACTGAATGATAAGGCAATCGATGCTGGAAGAACTCACATTCTACTAGGGGAGGCAGAGTGGTACACAAAAACCACAATGCAGTGCATGAGGGCATTCCTGGAGGTGTGTGCTGGGCTTGGGAGAAACATAGGGCAGGGAACGAAGAGCTCTGTGCTAGTGGAACAAAGAGATCAGAGGATGAAACTTTTCAGATGGATAAGGAAGGATGGGGAGGAAGTTAAAAGGCAGACAAGAAGGTAATTCTAGGCAGAGAAATGCCTGAGACCCCATCCTCCTTCTGCATCCTCAGGAAGCTTGACCATCAGATTATCTCCTTTTGACCCTTCATCCGCTCCCCTCTCCTGGCTCCTTAGGCCTTTAAATGAGTTCAAGTCTCTCCAATATCCTATCATATAATACCATATCCCATCATATGTTTAAATTAAGTTTACAACATCCTTCCTGTGGTACAATGAATCACGTTTATATGGCTTTTCTAGCCATGGTCTTGTAACTCCCACAAAATGACTGGCTGAGACTATGCAAATTGTGTGACTTACAGTCTACCGAGGGGATTGGTCAGTTCGTGGTCCTGCTGGGAAGACCATGCCTCGAAATTGACAAGGAGTAGGCTTATATAAGGGCCAATCCCACAGAGGTTCGGGGTCCCTGCACTGAGAGCCTCCGGGACCGAGAAGAGAGCTGTAACACTGAAGATGGTGCGAGATGACAAGAGACACCAGTGGTGGGCTTGCCGGACCACGGAGCGAGAGCTGAGCACCTTCGGGCAGGAGACATGCTGGGAGCTAAAAGAGTTGTACCACTTGTCTAGGCAGGGCAGAGGCCTGAGTGTGCCCTGTGCAGGGGCTGCCTTGAAGGATCCTGTGCAGAGGTCTTCCTACAGTAGGATGGAGCCAGATGCCTCTGGGCAGAAGGCTTGCCAGCAGAGGTAGAAGAGCTGTAACGCTTGTGTGGGGCAAAAGAAGCCTGAGTGTCTCCCATGCAGTGGGGACCTTGGTAGCGTGGTGGGAAGAGAGCCCTGCAGGCCTGGGTAGTATGGCAGGAGCCAGCAGCAGAGGCCAGCGAGGACCAGCAGCAGAGCAGAAGCCTCAGGAGCCATGCAGGGCCTCCAAGCAGCATGGTGGTAACAGGAGGCAATGATGACATGAATACAGTATCCAACCTGAACCATGGCGCACCTGCCCAGCAACACAAGAATGGAAGTGGCTAATTTGGGTGAGGATAGGCAGTTCTCTTTTGGGAATCTGTTATTGTTTACTGTTTGCTTTCTATAAATAATAATAACGGCTTCCACTTCGCCAACAGTGTGTGTCTCGTGCATCCAGCTTGATCATAGATGAACACAGCACCCACAGAATGGTTGATGCCAGTGAGTGTATGTGTCTCATTCGTAGCAGTCTAATGGCTACCTGAGAGTTTGAGGCACAGCCTGTTTGCACGTGCAACGTAGATAGACAGACAAGTACTTACACTTCCCATGACTTTATGTCCTCCTCTGTCTTTAATCTTTCTGTCCCACTCAAAATGTTATATACCGGTAGACCCTGACTTACAACGTATTCAAGTTACAACAAACCACACTTATGACCAACAGTGTATCTGGAACATTGCATCCTCCTGGAAAGAAGTTATGGGAAAATGCATGCAGAGGATATGGAAAAAATTGCTGAGTTATATGAACACATTCCAAGCATTTGATCAGGATATGATGGAAGAGATTGGTGGAAAGATTGTCCATATGGCAAGAACGCTGAATTTAGAACTTGGCATTAAGAAGGGGAATTGACAGATCAGGACTTAATGGGCTTTGAAGAGGAAAGACATGCTGAAGAAGAAAGAAAGAATGAGGAAGAGGAAGGAGAGAAGTCAAAAAATCTTACAGTGAAAGGATTAGCTGGAGTTTTTTCTAAACTAAATTAGGAGCTTCAGTTGCTTGAAAACATGGATCCAAACGCTGACTGCTTTGCTAAAGTCAATAGGCAGATTCAGGAAGCAGTGAGATGTTACCTCAAAATATATGAAGAACAAAAAAGAACTATATAGAAAACTCTCACTAATTTTCTGACTAGAAATGCCATCCCCATTCCCAGAACTTTCCACAAGTGGAGTTATTACTGCAACTGACAAAATGCCAATGTTGTCCAACTTTTCTTCATCATCCAAGTAAATTTTTCATTTCTGTGTTATGTATATATGTGTGTTAGGATATATCTGTTTACATGTAATGTTTCCAACCCCCCAAGACAAAGATCGGATTTATAAAGATACTGATAATAAAAGGCAATAATAATGAAAACTAAAAAAAAAATGAGGTACTTGGCTTACGTCGAACCAACTTATGACAGTCGCCAGAATGGAATGTCGTAAGTTGGGGACTACTTGTAGAATAAGCGGGCATCACAGTGCTATCATTATACAAATAACTATCATTACTCATACGTGGCAGGATGTTGTTTCCCCTTTACCCACTCTCTGCCTCCTCATCGTCACTCCTAGAAGAAGTATTGTAACACAAACATACCTCAGTTGTGCTATTAAAAATGGTTGATATGGAGTCTTTCTGGAAGACTTCTGTCTGTGTAATCCCTGAGTCCCACACTTCATAGACACTCTGTCTCTGCTTTGTTCTGAGCACCTCAACAGAGTGTCAGTGTAGACTTTCTGGTAGCTCTTCTGTCTAGAGCTGTCACTGTGTTTAGCCATATACTGGGCAGGTCTCTCTGCATCTGTCCTTTCTTGCTGATCTCAGAATGGTGGTCTGTGAGTGGCCAGGACTCCCAACATGAAGAAATAAGCAATGAAATGTGTGGCTGTATTCCTGGTGAACTGGATGCATGGACCAAGAAGCCCATGTTATTAGGGTCCATGCCTCTTCTATTCCAAATATATCTGGCAAAATTCTGTAAAATATTGTCAATAATAAGGTCTGGTCCCTGGTCAAAAAAAAAAAAACCCTTCCTGTAAAAATCGACTCTCAATAATCTTTCCCTTGGTCAGAATGGATCTTATTAGGGAGTCAAGAAGCTCCCCGGATCTGCTGCCTCCTGGGAGTTAGTAGTGAAGGAGTCTGATACCTTGTTAGATCCTGGAAAGAAAAAAAAAAAAAAGTTCATACTCATTCTGAGATATTATGGGTCAGAATAATTCTAAATAGTTCACTTGGCAGAGCAAGTCTTCTCACTGACTACATCAGGTATAAGGTCTATCTTCACTGGTTATCCTTGGCCATTTGGCCTAGAAAAACTGCTCCTTAATAGATTCTAACGTCCGATCCTCACAAGCATCTAGTCACATGTATTGATCAAGGCACTGTGGAGCTAGGTGGTAGTGGCTGCTTTCATAGCCTGTGGCCCTTGCAATACCAATTCAATACCCATTACTTGGGTTTGATTTTTATGATTCTCAGAACAGTGGTCCTGTGCTGGAGAAGGCGAACACCTTCTCCCTGCCAGGCTCCTACTTTCCTCTACATTGGTCATAGCTTCAAGTCTTCCCTCTGACCCAGCACTGCTCTTCCACCTCCGTAGGGACCTAAGCTTAGAGTTGCATCATCAGCACTTACTGTGTATAGCACTTGTAGTATGGGCCCCAGGCTTTTGGCCATGCTTTTTTGCTTGAGGAAAGGATCCCACCAGTGGGTTTTTTAAGATCGAATGTATAAGGTATAGCTGAATCCTGAGCCAGAAGGGTGGAGGGACCCTGCAACAATCCTCCACTCACTGAGGAACCAGGAGAGTAGGTGGTGGGACTGCCTATGGGATCCACCCAGCCTGACAGCAGTGTTCCAAGCCAGGTCACAGAAGAACACCACCTCTCCACCACCCACTGTGAAGATAAAGTGGGACTAGAGACACAGCTACCTTTTAAAAAATAAATATATACATATTACTTTTAATATTAAAGAAAATCAAATGAGACTACATTTGATCTGTGGTTGTTAGGATAAAAAGCAAGAACTCAGTGAAAGGACCAGGAAACTCTTAGGTGAAGAAGATTCCACACAACCCCCAAGTCATATTTAGTGATCGTGGTAGAAAAATCTCTTAAATGTCTAAGAAACAAAACACATTTTGCTGTTATGCTCAAACTAAGGCATTTATTATGGGCTTTACATCTTAAATTATATCTTGGTTCCCAAAGGAACAGCTTCCACTAATTCCAAATTAAGCTTTCAAAAGTTTGTTACATTCCTTGCTCAACACAAAACAGGTTAAATATTAACTACCTCAACAATCCAATTTAGTTACTTTTCCTTAAAAAGCGTGCAGCAAAGTTGAAAATCAAAAGAGAAAACTGTAAACATTTTATGGTTTGGCTAAAGTAGAGTTCACTTCATGATGATTCAATATCTTCTAATACGTATTTCTGACAGTTTCCATAAATTTCAGAAAGGTAAATCCATTTACTAAAATTTCAAAAGAAATTTTTTTTTTTTAAAAATGGAAGTGCAATAATATTAGCCTTTCTTTGCCAGTTGGCAACTTGAATTTTTGCAGGAGTGATTATTAACACTTCTTTGCAGCTGATTACAGCTTTACTTTTCTCTCATTTAAAAAATATCAATTGCACATTGTTCCTTCAACTGAATAACTGGATTCTTTAAAGACAGAGGTTAGCTGTTTCACTGCATTTGGTAACAGGATAGAAATTCTGATCCATCATTCTTTTATCTGTAAAGAAAACAGACAAACAAAAAAAAAATTTGCTGTAATTAATCATATTACTAAAAACAGTAACAAAAGGAAAATGACAGTGATGTAATTATTACATCAGGAAACTTCTCCCCCCGTAACTTTCTCCCTTCCCTAGTCATGTTATTTCTGAGGTTTAATATAATCGGTTATTTTCCACAAGAAATTCTCTTGCTTTTAGAATGTACTTTTACAAAGAATGCCCTGTCAGATTAAACATGATGCTGATGACAGCAATGATATTAGCTAACATGTACTGAATGCTTTACATGGGCCAATTACTGTGCTAAGTGCTTTGTGTGGATCATTTCATTTCACAGCAACTCTAGGAGGTTGTTATTGTTAGTTGCTGTACAGTCGATACCAACTCATGGCAACGCCATGTAGATTTGATTATCATACTTTTACAGATGAATAAATTTAAGGAGAGATTTTATACCTGTGCTGCTAGCAGTCGGTAGAACAAGATTACAAACTTGGGCAGTTTAACTCCAGAGCCTTTCTCTTCACCTCCACCCTACACTGCCTTCCACATATGTTTTACATAAATGATGTACATAAAGTTTCTTGGTGCTTTAGAAACTTAAGAATAAGATTTTACATGATACATGTGTAACTGAATTTTGATGCAACTTAAGAGTCTGTCCTCAAGTATACATCCAATTAAAGGAATTGAATAAGTTTTATGTAAACAATCATGAAATAATGAAGCCCCTTTAATAATATTCCTATTAATCATGGTAGTGTGGAAAAAAATTTCAGTTACTGATTTTTTCTGGGTTCATTAAGGCTATTTTCTCTAAAAGTCAACTTTACCTTGCATTATATAATAGAAACATTAGGAGTCCTGGTGGCACACTGGTTAAAGTGCTCAGGTGCTAACCAAAAGGTTGGTGGTTCGAACCCAACAGTCGCTCCACGGGAGAAAAATGTGGCAGTCTGCTTCCGTAAAGACTTTTAGCCCTGAAAACCCTATGGGTAGTTCTACTCTGTCCTACAGGGTCACTATGAGTTGGAATCAACTCGACAGCAGTGGGTTTGGGTTTTCTGAAACATTACTAGTATGTTAATTGAATTTTTTAAAAGATCATTTTAAATGAACTAAGAGACAATTATTTAAAGAAAAAAATTTAATAAGGGCTCTTCTATTATTTTAGTATGCGGTTCTAAAGCCATAGCTGTCTCCTTAAATTATAAAACCTCAGTCCACCATCACCACCTGTTGACAAAGTCGACTCTGACAGAACTACGCTCCATAGGGTTTTTAATGGCTGCTTTTTCGGAAGTAGATCACCAGGCCTTTCTTCCAAAGTCTGAGTGGACTTGAACTTCCAACTTTTTGGTTAATAGCCAAGCATGCTAACTGTTTATACCACCCAGTGACCTCAGTAATCATCTTTAAAAGGTAGGAAAAAAAAGACATCATAACCATGGATACGAAATCAATTACTTTAAAATACCTCAGTGACTACACCAGCAGCTATTGTAGAACCACTGTAACGCAGCATGAACCTCCCCAGTTCTTTAAAATCTTTGTATAGCTCAAGAGCGATTGGTCTTTGTGTCTGTAGCTCCACCAATGCATTCTGGCCTTTAGTCAACAACCTACCAAAAAAACAAGAAAAGGATATACAACAGAGGTGAATAAATAAATGTAATAACAACAGCCACCTGAAAAAGAGATATTTCACATTCAATAAACACATCAACAGTCTTTTAAAAACAAAAAAGAAAAAATTTAAATAAAAAGACATGCCTTTGAGTTTCCTGGGTTAGTTGAATGAAATGAGAGGCGTAATCTAGACTGAGGAAACATTAGCTAGTTCACATATGTTTTTTATCAGTCTTCTGAACACAACACTATCCCTTGAAGGACCACTATAACCTAAAATGCTCAAGGCCCCTCCTGACCAATGCCTTCCAGTTCATTTCTTCAGCTATAGATCTTTCCTGGGAAATT